TGTTTTCTAAGAAATGGTAAGTGTTAATCATCGAAACTCAGTATCCGGAGGCCTCATCTACCATTATAATTATCTCTACAATATTTGGTCCTTCAAATAGCAAAATATTTACTTAAGTCTGCCATGAGAGTTTAATATGATCACAGCAATAGATATTAAAAGGGTAAAAAGTTCCCATTACTGTTGCGAGAAAAAATCACTCGTTGCCACAATCATTCTTTATTCAATCTTCGGTTATAATTAGTTAAGTGATGATTCTAGTTGATGATAAACTCTACGTTGTTTCTAGTTGATGATAAACTCTATCTTGATTCTAGTTGATGATAAACTCTACGTTGTTTCCTATAGTTGATGTTAAACTCTATCTTGATTCTAGTTGATGATGAACTCTACGTTGTTTCTAGTTGATGATAAACTTTATCTTGATTCTAGTTGATGATAAACTCTACCTTGATTCTAGTTGATGATAAACTCTGGCTTGATGCTTGAATCTAGTTGATGATAAACTCTGGCTTGATTCTAGCTGATGATAAACTCTGGCTTGATTCTAGTTGATGTTGATAAACTCTGGCTTGATTCTAGTTGATGATAAACTCTGGCTTAATTCTAGTTGATGATAAACTCTGGCTTGATTCTAGTTGGTGTTAAACTCTGGCTTGATTCTAGTTGATGTTAAACTCTGGCTTAGTGCTTGATTCTAGTTGATGTTAAACTCTGACTTGATGCTTGAATCTAGTTGATGATAAACTCCGGCTTGATTCTAGTTGATGATAAACTCTGGTTTGATTCTAGTTGATGTTAAACTCTACCTTGATTCTAGTTGATGTTAACCTCTGGCTTAATTCTAGTTGATGTTAAACTCTGGCTTGATTCTAGTTGATGATAAACTCTGGCTTGATTCTAGTTGATGATAAACTCTGGCTTGATTCTAGTTGATGTTAAACTCTGGCTTGATTCTAGTTGATGTTAAAGTCTGGCTTGATTCTAGTTGATGATAAACTCTGGCTTGATTCTAGTTGATGTTAAACTCTGGCTTGATGCTTGATTCTAGTTGATGTTAAACTCTGGCTTGATGCTTGATTCTAGTTGATGTTAAACTCTGGCTTGATGCTTGATTCTAGTTGATGTTAAACTCTGGCTTGATGCTTGATTCTAGTTGATGTTAAACTCTGGCTTGATGCTTGATTCTAGTTGATGATAAACTCTGGCTTGATGCTTGATTCTAGTTGATGATAAACTCTGGCTTGATGCTTGATTCTAGTTGATGATAAACTCTGGCTTGATGCTTGATTCTAGTTGATGTTAAACTCTGGCTTGATGCTTGATTCTAGTAGATGTTAAACTCTGGCTTGATGCTTGATTCTAGTTGATGTTAAACTAACTCTACCCTTTTTTAGATTACGATTGGTCATAATACATGATTCAACCCTTAAGAAGAGTTCCAAATCTGAACAGAGACACTGATAAGCTTATATTGCGAATATATAGGCGATTTGATTGCAAAGACGGCTCAAATTCATTTATGAAATCTTTTTGAAACATTACAATATTTGATATTAATATCAATTTTTAAGATAAATATCTGAATTGTGATCTTCAAAGACAAATTAATAATATTTGTATTTTGTTTGGCAACCAAGGAGTTAATGATTATACTTGACATACACTGTACTCTCTGTACCTTACTAATTAGATTAAAGCATACAATCTGGTATAGATCGAAGTTTAAAGAATAATAATATAATAATCATGCCAAATATTTCTTGTCAATATAACTCAATGTCATAAATTAATAAACTGAAAGCAAAATAGAAATCTAATAAAAAAAAAATTCAAATACACAGTGGTTTTAAACTGAGAATTATCTTTTGTCGTAATTGTTAATATAACTTCATTCTAAAAATTCTGTATCGATTGTGGTATACCTACAAGCCTAAAAACATTAAAAAACATTTTTTAAAGGTACAAATGTGGTATTTTTTTAGGTTGATTTAAGCCTTAAATGTATGTAAAAAGTCTTCAGAACTACTAAAACTGTGCCAAAATCGAAAAATTTCAGGACTACTAAATATTCCTTCAAAAAGATCTCAGACAAGAAATTTATTTATTTCGTTCACAAGCTTATCTTCTCTCTGAAATTAGGGGTAGCCAATCCGAAAGTTGAACGTCTTGTTGTCGTTGGACAGGTGGGACAGGATGAATGGTCTACTGTATACACATGACGTCATCAACAGATATTCAAAATAAAAAATCTCTTAAAATAACAAACAGATTATGGATACACTAGGATTCGAAGGCTAAAATTTCGATGGTAAGCTGTGAACAATATTACTGATATGCGGAACAATTTACGTTTCTGAGTCCAAGGTATGATTTACTTCGGAAATGCCGCCCCTTTTTGCTGTGTGATTTAGAAAGAAGAACCTCCCTAATTCTACAAATTCTAGTGATATTTGAATAAATATATTAATATTTATATACATCGATGAATAGAAATAGTAGAGCATTCTTTAAATATTTGAATTAGCCTCAAACCATATATATCACGAAACGAGTATTTGTCTTTCTATTGTGACAATTTATCGAGAAAAGATTAATTTTCCATTTGATTATGTACGTTGTAGTTATTTATCTATCAATGTCCAAGCCTAGTCTTCACGTCTCGGGTTAAAAATTAATCAACTAAATATATTCATGAATAGGATTTATATCTCCTTGGTTTATGGTGTCGGTCCGGTTCGTTCACGTTGTACACAGCCTAAACTCATCTATTTCATTGATATGAACATCATTTATTTAAACCAGGGATATTTGAACAAAGAAAGGTTAGAATTTTTCATTTGATTTATTGGACACACGTCCACTAGACAGACGGTGCACGTTTTTAAATTAATAGAGAAGCAAGGTGGGTAATTAACATAGTAATAAAGTACTACGGTGGGATCAAACAAGGTTCCTCTCTATGTCCATGTGTTTTAAAGGTGTTTCATTTTACCTATATCCGTAAATTATAAACAATTTTAGCGGGCAAAGCACAATTTAGGAAACCGACAGGACAATATATTTTTGTCACTTTTTGCCCTATTTATAATGTTGATAAATGGAAAAATGACTTATTCAAAACCTTTTTTCTATTGTTATAAACAGCAGGGGTTTTTAGTAATTTAAGTGCTAAACTTTATCAGTATATTCAATTAATATTAATGTATTGTACACGATTAATATACAATGAAATCAATTAGGATCATTATGGATGTATTTTGTACTTTGAACGATATTATTACATTTATAAATCCACAGATAATACACAAGCAATAATACACAAGTTAAAATTCAAGACTGTACGCATCAAGACTATCTAAATGTCGCTAGGTCTTGAGTGTATATACACATTGTGTTGACTTTTTCCATGAGAGATACTTCACATTGGTTACATCATTATAAGTCACAGTTTTACTTTTAGTAAATTTAAATTTGTCTCTGAAAAAAAGACCCGTCAATTAAAACTTTCATTTATAATTCCATCGGAATACAATATACCATTCTTGTGTTATATTTCTCTAGAAATCGAGTTATTTTAATCACGATACATGATTATGATTTCGTGTATCGAGATTCTTACTCTGTGTTGGATTTGTGCGAATTTTCCATCAACAATTATTGAGTTATGGACCTTGGTTTGAAAATATTTTGTTGCAACATAGAAGAAGTAAATAAAAGATGGACAACTGTCTTAAATATTTTGCTATCGTTGCATCGTATTTCTTCTATTATTATTCAATTTTATAATAATGAACTCATATTCACACATATAAATATTTATATATAATAAGTACATTATGCCCCTATTGGACTCACATTTTATTTATTACCCATGTGTCTGCTATATGTCGGTGAAGTCTGTATATATGTGGTCATGTTGATATTAACACAGCATGTTGCTAGTTATAATCATTTGTATATTAAGATATAAACAAGACAATACAACACGATAAGGTTGTTATTAAATGGTATTATTATGTATTAAAGATTAATAACACAAGTTACCCAGCAAGTTGAACAACTCGGAAAGTAGTGGACTAGTGTTAAAGAGACATATAGCCTACTTCCCAATGCAGGACCATCTAGTATCAAAATTTGATTTCATCGCCAAAATTCTGCAATATTTATTAGTTATCACTTACTGTTAATTCGTATTAAAGAAAAAAATAGTCATTTACTTATGGCAGGTTTTAGTCATACATACGCACATGGTGATACTTTGTATCCCATTCACAACAAATGCATTTTAAATTTCGTATGTCCAGAAATAGTTTTCAGATGTATATAACGTATATTAAAGCAATTGTGTGAGGTGTTACGGGCCCATATTTTCATATTACGAAATGGTTGACTACTAATCTATATCCAACTGGTCAAATATCTCGTCATATCTATTAATAGAGTCCATTAACTGACCAATAAGCTTTAAATCACAAGAATAACCTATTAGAATCTATAATTATTGAATACAATCGAATACAATAGGCAGGTAGAATAAAGACTTTGTTCAGGTTCGGATAAAAAGGGTTTTGTTTCATTTCTCTTGGTGAGACGAATGCATCTTGGAAACAGAGCCACTGTGATGCTGGATTCAATATACTATTTTTAAAAGTATATTGTGTGTAATTCTATAGAGAAATATTAAAATGATTGTTTTCTAGTAAGTTTTTAATTTAACGTTTGGTCAATTTGAAATTGTATGTTTACAGTTGATAAGCCATTTTATTGTTTCTATTCAACCTATCTAATAACTAACAAATCCAATTGACATTACACGAAATTAAGAAACATGAGATGCAATTCGAGTCTGGTTTTATAATCATCAAATATCTTATCATGTTTATTGTGAATTTTAATATCCTGAGTATTTTATGTATTTCAGGTTGAATGGAAACTAGTTAACAAAACAGATGGTGGCTATCAATTCCTCTATATAAAACCCTCCAATTGTCATCGGGATGGCTGAGTCAATCGAAGATAAGGATGGGTATCTTATTCCAGGGGTAGGATTAAATATCGAATTCCTTCACAAGATTCAAGAAAGCGGGCGCAATCCATGTGGAACTAATTCTAATATAAGTGCTTGCGAAGAGAGCTCATTAAAACAGATAAACTCTACAGAAGTTCAAAGTAGCGTAAAGAATGATAGACAATTGAATAATAGGTATAACGGTTTTCTCCCTCGATGCCAAAATGCTAATGAGCCGGAATTTATTAAATCCTCACAAGGCTCTGTCCGGACAACTCATCAAATTGCCGATTCATCCGCTTGGTCTGTAGATACTGTTACTGTGAAAAGTGGCAAACATCGAACAAACAGGGTTAGTGGAGTGAACAAAGACAGAATAAAAGGCATGGAATTACCGGATTTAGTAGCCAATATACATAATCTTATCGCCAAACGGATTATATCATCGCATTATCGTCAAACCCAACCTACTCGTCACTCATACGGTATTAGCTGCAGTAATTCCACCCCGGGGCGTCGAACCACTGGCCCATATCGTTTAAAACCTTTAGTTAACAACAAGTTTCAGAAAAAAGCCTCGTATGTATGCCGATCCAGTATCTTCGTCGTTAAAAGGACATAATGTCAACAAACAGATGGCCAATGTTAGTGAAGGAATTTCGTCAACCGGTTCACCTGCTCTTTTTGACAGATGGGAAGGAGGTAAAAATACACGTGGGTTGAAGCAGACGACAATGTTAACAAGTCTCTCTCGCGAGATGGAAGCTCCCCACGACACAATGAACAAAAAGACTATGATGAAACGTCAATGCATGTATTTTCCTGTAGATGATTACGTCACACTGTCACCGATACCATTGGCTTGTGAAGGAAACCGTTCCACGACTACAGTGTCTCCAGCTAATATTAGTGACAATGTGTTTGAGAAACAGTTATCACCAATGACCATCTCCAGCGGGTATGACAGTGATTATTCGCCACCATGGCCTTCAGATATGGATAAAATCTTTGCAAAAATGGTTGAGACTGTGTGTTCAAATCAAGATGATAGTCATACGGACTATTTTTCGCAATCTGAAACCTACCCTAGGTCAGTTGACGTTCAAGAAAAGTGCTTTTTAAATCCAGAAGGAAATGCCCAAGGCCCTAATAAGCTGAGTAATCCAAATAACGCGGGTTATATTGATGGATATGACATTTCAGAAAGGTCAAGGACCCGATGTATCAGTGAAGAAAAAACCGTGCTCGGTAATGGACCATATCATGTGACAAGTCAAACTATATCCGATTTGAATTATAAGTCATCTAGAATATGCTTTGACAAGTATCTCTTAAATCGTGGATCTGTGTCTTGTCTGGATCAAGGATTAAAACAGCGGTCTTCTTTGGAATCTGGATCTACTGTGAGTTTGGATAATTTGAAAACTAAGAAAGATGCCACACTTTTGGGGACAAAATTGGTAAATGGTGCTAGAAGAAGCAAACGCTATCGTTTTGATGCAAATCGTGATAGTTTGTGTAAACTTAACGTTGAGTCAGCTTCGAACTCTGAATTATCTAAAACTTTTGGTGATTTTGAAATGCAGACAACCTGTTCAAATGTGACTTCGCCTCGAATTACACCTATTGACTTTTTTGGGTTATTCAAGAAATCGCCTACTCCAAACAATTGTGTCGAAACTATTTCTAACAATACAAGTAATCGAATCAGTGATCAAGTTGATTTAAATGAAGTTAAAACAAATGCTGGTCATACTATAGTGAATAATAGTGTCGGCGATTTGAGTATAGATAACATACAGCCATTGAAGCAGAACGGTGATAATCTAAGGTGTGTTAAATCGCCAAGAGGCAGACTTGATACGAGTGACTATGAACATATCTATGACGTTATACCAGGCGATGAACACGTTCTCAGTCAGTCAAAATTCCCGTCCATGGCAACACAACTGGTACGTAATAAGTGGTCTACATTAGATGATGTGCGACGACCCAGAAATATATTGAACGCAAACCCACCAGCTCTTCCTGTCAGAAGTTATCTTAAAGACAAGGGCAGTAACTGTACGGGATCCATCTCTAATATGCGGGTTGTGTGTTCGTCGGTGGACGATTTATACGCTCGTGTGAACAAACGCGAAGACAAAATTGACCAAACGTACGCAACGTCTGTGAAATACAAACCTCAAATATCTGATATTTCGAATAAGGAAAATGTGTTATCTGGATACAATGACGACTATGATTATCTATCATCTGAGACCTATTGTAGAATTGGATCTTGTATGGAAGAAAAGGTAACAAACTGGTCGTCAGGGGACGTTTTAAATTTTATTGACGGTATTAAACAACCAGAACCAAAATGTCGTGAAAATATATATGGCTTATTATCTAGTCGCCAAGTTCGTGCTAAACTCTCAGAATCTCTGGAAATAGAAAATAAACTTGTGACTATGGGACTGTTAAAGAACAGTTGGTCTTGTGATAATGTTGAAACTGAAGAGAAACCACCTATACCCCCTCGTGCTCCTTTAAATACATTTCGACCAATTTATGTTTAAATGTGATATCAGATTTGATGAGCTTGCAAAATTAACTTCGAATGTGTTGTAAGTTGTATCTTTGTTGTGACAAAAAAGGCAATAATATTATTCTGTGATATCCAAGAAAACCTGAAAACTAAGTACTGTTCATTTTCTGTTAAATAAGTGCTCTCTTTGAATTCTTTGTGTTTTTTAATGTTGGCATTACATGTATCTCCTTCAAATATTTTGTTCAGTAACGCTTTGAAATGTAACATTGGATTATCTATGGCGTAATGTCTATTTGCATGATTTGTTGACCAATCAAACGACCGATCAATGTGAGGACTATGTTTTCGGCAATTTGAAAAATTTTTCATGACATAACCGATCCAGATATCGGCTTAACATCATGACATTCTTAAAAGAGTGTTAAAATGTAATTAAATTTTAATGGTCACTAATATTAAGTGTGAATAATCAAAATAGTGTATTACGTCATCAAAAGTTGTTGTCTAGTCACGGGTTTTGTATTCTAAGAATTAGTTTGATTGACAGATGACATGTGATAAGAATCAGAACTGAATGTAATACTGTTTTGTATCTAATTTGAATAATTGTGACACTACTATTTTTGCATTATTATGTATTAGAATGAAAACGCCTAACATATCCTGTATATGTATCCCCAGGCCGTATTTGTTTGTTGAATATAAGTTGAAAAAATGTGACCTATTTGAATATTATATACTACATTTTACAACCCCATTAGATAATCTAGAACTTTCAACCAACAAAACTTAAAGACACAGTTGGTTCTTATGTTGTGTTTTTTTATGTACGCCTTAGTTAATTATTGTTCAGTACTAAATTCATTGTTTTACTAACCATATACCTTCATTTTTTTTGTTATTTATACATCATAATCAATCAATGCAATGTTATCATAGAAATAAACAAAATAATTATGTACATTATTCATTCCCTTCCCACTCAACTAGTCATATTGATTTCCATTGTCTTTTAAAGTTAGTTGTTCTTCAGGAAGATTCAGATCATACCGTCCAATTCCAACAATCTTCATTCAGTAGACGAAAATTATCTCTCATTTCAATTAAAGGGATACTACGTAAAATTTATAAATTTTGAACTTGGCCAATGAGAGCATGGTGTCATCAATAACATAACAGGATCCTTATATAATTCGATAAATCCAAAAAACTTAATAAAAATGCAATTACTTAGTGTTAAAAATTTTCCAATTTTTCAATTTTACATGGATTCTGTTGTAACTTTATGACACCAGGTAAGTTCACTGAGGAATATATACTCATATTGACCATTCTTGAGAAATTAAATTTTATGTTCATTAGACGTGTTTCAAAATATATTCATACTCTTTGCAGATTCGCATTATCTATTAGTGGAACGGTATGCCCAATGGGGGTACGGGTGGGGAGGATTGGAGTATATGTACACTCCAAGAAATTGGTCTATCAATTATTTCATTCATCAGTTCGCTGAAAAAATTCAAATATATAACAATTGCAACTGTGCCAATGTGAGATGTTTGAGACTGTTAAAGGGACATAACTGCGTTGTAAGAATTTGAACACCAGTCTGCAATTAAAACTTTATTTCAAGAAGAAATGCTTGAATACATCCATCAACGATAAGAGATAAAATACATGCCGTAAATACACTTCTACACGAACCAACTTACTACACACACTACGTTTAATTCAAAATTATTTCCATGTTCAATTGGTTATATTATAACAATTCATGTCATAACTGGGCTTGGCCAAGAAGCTGAAATAAGGGTAGAAAACCAGTGCAAGTAAAGGTGAATGAACATACCGTACGGGACACATAGTTTTGGTATGTAAAACTCCATTCATTTCATTTTATTTTCAAAAGGGTTATTTTCCAAGAATTTTCGAGGAATACTATCTTATCTTAGCTTAGTGATTTTTTAAATTATTAGTTTATGTAAAAGTTAATTTGTTATTCTTAAGAAGCTTTTCTTCTTTTCTTTTTCAAATCCGAAATTTTACAAAGATATCATATTTGAGCTTAAGTAATAACTAGGAAATTCCTTAACCTTGACATATTTACTGTAGAATGCACTGAAAAATAACGGTAGGCTGGATCAGATTATTATATTCATTCTTGACAAAATGTTTTACTAGAGTCAGCCCTATATATGTCACTCTTTTTAATTTCATCTGCCATGTATTTGGAGTTCAAAAAGCATGTAAAAATATACTTTTTGAAAGCAAATGCGCCAATACATAAATTTTGCCCTATACTGGATATCATTTGATGACGCGTATTACTCGACATCAATCGTAACTTTCATATTTTTCTAAATAAATCACTTTCATAAACAATTTTGGGTTTTCAAACCTAAATCACGCTTAAAATCCACAAAAAGATAAGAAAAATGGCATTATTTGTTTTTTAGGTGGACCGCAATGTCCTCGCACCATTTATGACTCTCCCTGTTGAAATCGTCACAATTTGCATAAAGTTTATATGGAAAACTGCTTCAGAGATAATCCAGGTTGATGTCACTGTCTAAATAGCATATACTGCAGTAGACTTCCTGGACTTCGTTGCTCAGACTTGAAAAATACACGAGAAAACCTCAATTAAAATGGTTGAAATAAGGAATATCGGCATAGGCAAAAGATGTAAGACTTCATAAAGTCTTCAAAAATGGCCTGTTTTAACGTTACCTGTATCGACTAGAGTTGCCTCCCTTTCTACACAGACACAATATACTTACTCAATGAGTAAAACATTGTGATCTGATAGATAAAATGAAATGAAATGGAATAGAAATATGTGCGACACATGATATATTTTGTTTAACATTAAAATGGGTTTTTATTTATACTAGGCTAAGGCCCTATATAGTGGTTGAACCAGAATTTATGTGTACATAATATTTTTGTTCGAGTCGAAGGTTTGTTTTGTTTGAGCATCACCAGATTGTGAAAAGACGTCTAAATTTACCACTAAAATAAAATAAAAATTTTTCTTCTAAAATCTTTCAGTACCTTACTGACAGTGGCGACCAGTCTCCCGAGACTGGGGGTACAAATAGGTAGGAAACCGAGACAGAGTTCTCCCAAAAATATTTTCGAAAAATTGATTTCATTTGGTGCACATATTTTGAGGCAAAAACGTATAAAAATCATATTTTTATAAGGGACAATTCATCTTTTCTTTCAATAGGGAGGACTTTAGGATAATAGCCTACTGTTTCCTCGTACCACCTAATTTTCATCCCTAATAACCATTGTGTCGTTACAACATACAATAACCCGCAGATTTTATTCTTCAATGTTCTGCCTTTCAAGCACTTAATGAAATTTGGCACGTGACAAGGCACACGCAGGTTATGAATGAACCCCACTCTTATGAGCAGCTGTGGATTTCCCGCTCAATATTTTTATTTCAATTTTCTATTGTCTCCAAGCGTGTGAAAAAAATCCTGACAAATTCTTATTAGCTAGTATTTAACTATGGAAATAAACTTGTAAAGGCATAATAATAGTATTAGTATTAAGATGATTAAAGAGGTACATGTATCACGTATATTCTAGAATATCATTTATTGTACCATGTTTCAACATTCATACAGGCCTAAGTATATAACTATAATATTATGACAATAGAATATTGCTGACCTTATTTCTGCTGACAAAAACGCTGATATTAACATAACCTTTGAGATACACTAGAATTATCTAAGAGGACTTAAACATGATGTGAACAAGATGTATTTCGGGATGTGACAAAAAAGGATGTATAGGAGTAGTATACAGGGGTTCAAACGCTCCAATCTCACAGGTCATGACCTGACCAGGTCGTAATAACATATGCTCATTTTCATTCAGTAAAATAGACTGGTTTGAGAATGGTTCTGTATAACTGTTTACACCAAACATGAAAAACATAAGTCGTTGCAGTGACCAGGATGTAAACTACAACAACAGCATCGAAAGATAACGAAATTCCGAGGGATAAAGTGACGGACAATTTAGGTATAAATAACAGTAAACCGTTCTCAGAATGATTGCCAATCATTAAATAATGGAGTCTGCATTAGAACGCTGATACGTCTGTTCCTTTCTGAAGAAGGAAAATATTTTCCCTAGCCCTACTTTATGTAATTGATGGATGACGGAATTTAACTATATATATCTGAAAAATCACATATGTCACTATTCGGCAGTTTCCGTAAAGTTAAATCTGTAGTTAGTGGTTAAACAAAACTTTAATTGTGAACTCCTCGGAAAAGGTAGTTATATAAACGTCCTTGATACAAACTGTTACTTCAAACCTGTGATAATATTAAATGCTGACTGAATTGTTCACACTATTTTTAATCTCGCTCTTATCATTGACGTCAATAACTATCAATAATAAACTCTGTACTGCTGACAAAGTGCTGACTAAAATAGGATTGAGAGGTAGAAAAAATAAAGCAATTGAAAGATTTTTCCTTTCAATTTTATCTTCAAATCGATGCTATCAGTGTTCCTATTACATAAAAACAGTTTTATAAAAACCTTTAAATGCGGATTTACATAAAATAACGAGAGGTGATTTCTGCCAAATTTGAGTTCAGGTATCATTCTAGTTTCCATAATGAATCATTTTGATTTTAATTATTTATTTAATGACATCATTCCTGTTTCTGTTTATTTGGAATTTTCAAGTACCGTTTATATATATCCTGATTAACTGGAGAGTTTTAGAGATAGGATAATATTATAATATCAAGGATAAGGATTTGACAGAATGCTGACTGATATTTGATCTTCAATTACACTAAAATATCAATGTTTATATTTCTCAATTATTTCAGATTGATTTGAATTAGGCCTACATTGCTTCCAGATATAGTAAAATATCGCGAAAGCATTGAGTCATGATGTTTCTGAGAAAAAAAGCCTTCATTCAACCGATTCTATATAAAGTTTAGAATGGTATAAGGAATATTTTATGAAAGAAATGTGAATAAA